ACCGACAGGTCGCAGGTTCGAATCCGGGGAGAGGCGGATGAGCTCCCTCTATCAGCTCCAGCTCCTCATGAGGGGACATGAGAGAAGCCTCCCACAAGGATGATAAAAACATCAAATCATCCGGGCGTCCCCTGGGCAACGTCCTTGCAGACGGCCAATTCTCTCACACCAGAAGCAACTTGCAGTTTCTCAAGTTGCTCCTGACACGACCAAAAAAAGTATTAATAATAATATAATTATAATTATCCTATTAGGATTATCTGAGTCTACACTGTCATATATTCCAGTTCAAAGCAGATGTGAGATTTTATTCAGCTGTGTGGAAGGAGCCACAGTTTGTGGCAGCCACAAAAACGAAGTTTCTGGAAAATAATTATTTCAAAGTAATAAATACACAATTACACAGGATTTTTTTTTTCAAATTTTGTTACATAGTGTTATTGTTGTACACTGGGGGTTGTTGGGTTACTCAGTGGAAAACACATTAATAAAAGACTCCAGCATAACAGGAAGACAGACAAGCTCAGTGCTATTTACTCACAGGTAAGTGCAGCAATACTGCAGCCTTAGTGACATACGGTCATCTCACCCACCAATTATTACTATGGGCCACCTGCTAGGAATTTTGAAAAGGCCATTCCTCTGTTTGCCTCACTTGAAAAAGCTTTGAAGGAATGGCTTTGGTTTCCCAGGCAACCCACAGCACGTTGGCTCTTGTCAGGCTTGTTTCTCATAAAAAAGTTAGCTCTCCCAGGAAACAGAAACTAAATCACAGGGGAAATAATCCACAGCAACCGGCTCTTTTCCCTACCAAGCTGGCAAAGGAAGTGCCTGGCAACTGAAGTGGGAGGAAGCTGTCCATGTGCCAGCTTGCCCAATGCCAATGGCCACTTAAAAGGGCCTTCCCAATTCATCTTAATAAAGCTTTCCTCCCATTGAGATGCTTTGTTCCCATGAAGGCTCAAATGAGGCAAAAAGGAGCTGAAGCAAGCTCCTTCTCAAGAAAGGAGGAGAGAAGACTCCTGGATTAGGCTAGTCCAGCCTCCCGTCCCTATTTAGATCAATCATGTGCTCGGTTAGGCTGCATCTTATGCTTTATTTATTTATCATGTCAGGAGCAGACCAAACAGCTGTGTTGCATTTTTTAACAAACAAACAAACAAAACACAAAGTTTGCAAGCTTGGTAGTTGATCAACGTTGATTGAGATTATTGTAATGGTTGGTCCTGAAAAGGTCCGTTGGTTGTTTTGCTTGCTTGTTTGCATGCTGCAAGTCGCTTCTGATCGCTTCTGGAGTGAGACAATCAGCCGTCTACAGAGACGTTGACCAGGGGATGCCGGGATGTCTTGCAATCCTGCGAGGAGGCTTCTCTCATGAGAATTTCTAATTGCAATGCCCGATCTACTTCTTTTCGATAAGATCGTCTGGGGAGGCCCTGCTCTCGATCCCGCCGGCCTCACAAGCACGTCTGGCGGGGACGAGAGACAGGGCCTTCTCAGTAGTGGCCCCCTGGCTGTGGAACGCCCTTCCTACAGACATTAGATCGGCCCCCTCCTTATTGGCATTCCGGAAGAGAGTGAAGACCTGGCTCTTCAAACAGGCTTTTAACTAAACAGTGCAATTGATTGTTTACTGGAATATGGATTAATGGACAACGAGATCGGATGCTGATTCTATTGATGAGACGTGATGGACTGTTGTTTTGCTGTATTGTAGCATTGATGTTTTTGATGTTAATTAATTGATACTACTGTTTTAAATGACTAATGATTTTGTACTGTGTTGCTGATACTGGTTGTTAACCGCTCTGAGTCGCCTGATGGCTGAGAAGAGCGGTATACAAGTAAAGTAAATAAATAAATAAATAAATTTTCCTGCTGTCCTATAATTCTTTCTCATTAAGAGCTCAGCTGCCACATTTTGGCCTTATTCTTGATCACTAACTTGCACATCTTTTGGGACTGACCGTTTGCTCTGAACCATCTAAACCAGGCATGGGCAAACTTGGGTTCTTCGGATGTTTTGGACTTCAACTACCACAATTCTAAACAGCCTACTGGCTGGGTTGTTATGGATTTTTTTAGGCTATATGGCCATGTTCTAGAGCAGTGGTTCTCAACCTGGGGTCCCCAGATGTTTTTGGCCTACAACTCCCAGAAATCCCAGCCAGTTTACCAGCTCCTTCACTCAAAAAAATTGATTTTGTCATTTGGAGTTGTAGTTGTTGGGATTTAGAGTTCACCTACAATCAAAGAGCATTCTGAACTCCACCAATGATGGAATTGAACCAAAGGTGATACACAGGACTCCCATGACCAACAGAAAACACTAGAAGGGGTTTGGTGGGCATTGACCTTGAGTTTGGGAGTTGTAGTTCACCTACATCCAGAGAGCACTGTGGACTCAAACAATGATGGATCTGGACCAAACTTGGCACGAATACTCAATATGCCCAAATATGAACACAGATGGAGTTTGGGGGGAAATAGACCTTGACATTTGAGAGTTGTAGTTACTGGGATTTATAGTTCACCTACAATCAAAGAGCATTCCGAACCCCACAAACGACAGAATTGGGGCAAACTTCCCACACAGAACCCCCATGACCAGCAGAAAATACTTATGGCCATCCAGTCCAACTCACCAGGGCAAGAAAATCTAATCAAAGCCCTCCTGACAAAGAGTCATCCAGCCATCGATATAGATAGACAGATAGATAGATAGATAGGTAGGTAGGTAGGTAGATAGGTAGAAATACTGTTTACCCACAAGCATCAAGACATTACATATATTAGAAACCAACACTTTCTCATTACTTTATTTTCCAGATCAACAGACTGGGCCACAGCAACGCCTGGCAGGGGAAAGCTAGTTTATGATATTTATAGCTCGCCTTTCTCAGCCATACGGCGACTCAAATATATATAAATATAATATAGTATAAATATAAATAAATATATATTTATAAATATAATATTAATATAAATATAATACAGTATAGTAACAATAATTCCTCAGTTCCATGTTACCCCTTCCTCCATCACATACTGTAATATAAACATATAATATATAATAATAATATTGTAATAATTTCCCAGTCCCCTAAGTTACTGCCTCCTCAATTCCATTCCTACAGAAAATAAATATAATATATAATATCAATATATATTCTATATAATATATATATAATAATTATAATAATTCCTCAGTCCCTTAATTTGCTACTTCCTTGATCTCATTCCATCAGAATATAAATATAATAAAGGTAATAATAATAATAATTCTTCCGTTCCCTAAGTTGCCCCCTTGCATATATGTGTGTGTATATATATATATATATATATATATGTATGTATGTATGTATGTATGTATGTATATATGTAATGTTAGTTCGTGCTACCATCAGAACTCAAAAACCACTGGGGGAATTGACACCAAATTTGGACACAAGACACCTAATAGTCCAATTTATGTCCTCCACTCAAAAAAAATTGATTTTGTCATTTGGGAATTGTTGTTGCTGGGATTTATAGTTTACCTACAATCAAAGAGCATTCTGAACTCCAAGGATGGAATTGGGCCAAACTTAGCACACAGGGCTCCCATGACCAACAGAAAAAACTGGAAGGGTTTGGTGGACATTGACCTTGAGTTTGAAAATTTTAGTTCACCTACATCCAGAGAGCACTGTGGACTCAAACAATTATGGATCTTGACCAAACTTGGTACGAATACTCAATATGCCCAAATATAAACACAGATGGAGTTTGGGGAAAATAGACCTTGACATTAGGGATTCACAGTTCGCCTACAATCAATCATTATGAACCCCATGAATGACAGAATTTGGGCAGACATCCCACACAGAACCCCCACCACCAACAGAAAATACTTAAGGCCATCCAGTCCAACTCCCTTCACCAGGGCAAGAAAATGTAATCAAACCCCTCCTGACAAAGAGCCATCCAGCCATTGATATAGATAGATAGATTGTTGTTGTTCATTCGTTCAGTTCTCTCCGACTCTTCATAACCTCATGGACCAGATAGATAGATAGATAGATAGATAGATAGATAGATATGATTCACAAACACAGAGATATAGTATCATAGATTTGAAAGGGACCCTTAAAGAAGGACAATTATATGTTGCATATTCCAGCGTGGGCAAACCAGACACTCTCCACATCAACACTGACAAAGAAACAACAAGAAATACTGCTTACCCACAAGCATAATTATATATATTAAAAACCAACACTTTCTCATTACTTTATTTCCCAGATCAACAGAGGGTGCCACAGCAACGTGTGGCAGGGGATCGCTAATTTCCCAGTCCCCTAAGTTACTGCCTCCTCAGTTCCATTCCTACAGAAAATAAATAGAATATATAGTATCAATATATATTCTATATAATATATATAATAATAATTATAATAATTCCTCAGTCCCTTAAGTTGCTACTTCACCAAATTTGGCAACAGAACGTTTCACAACACAAGGAGTGACCATCACTCAAAAAATTTATGATTTTGTCATTTGGGAGTTGTAGTTGCTGGGATTTATAGTTCACCTACAATCAAAGAGCATTCTGAACTCCACCAATGATGGAATTGAACCAAACTTGGCACACAGGGCTCCCATGACCAACAGAAAACACTAGCAGGGTTTGGTGGGCATTGACCTTGAGTTTGGGAATTGTAGTTCACCTACATCCAGAGAGCACTGTGGACTCAAACAATGATGGATCTGGACCAAACTTGACACAAATATTCCATATGCCCAACTGTGAACACAGATGGAGTTTAAGGGAAATAGACCTTGGCATTTGGGAGTTGTAGTTACTGGGATTTATAGTTCGCTACAATTAACGAGCATTCTGAACCCCACAAACGACAGAAATGGGGCAAACTTCCCACACAGAACCCTCCCTCCTCAATAGTTCAGAATATAAACATATAATATTCATATAAATAGATAATAATCCCCCTCCTCCTCACCCGGCTTCCATCCCAGGCGGAGGAGGCCCAAAGCGCCCTCAGGAGCCACCGCCTCCTTCTCCACAACTACATCCCCCTCAGTGCGCATGCGCACCGCCTTGCCGGCCAACTCCGGAACTCTGACTGCGCGCGATCCACGCATGCGCACACGAAGGCGCGCGCCTCCCTCCTCCTTCCTTCCTTCCTCCCTCTCTCCCTCTCGCAGGGCGTCCCGATCCCTCCCAAACGCGCATGCGCCACTACCAACCTGGACTCTCAACCGCAACGCATGCGCAAACGAAAGTTCCGCCTTTTTTCAATCACACACCCACTTGGCACTTCAACTCTGACTCTAGGCGCTCCACGCATGCGCACATGAAAGCGCTCTCCTCCCTCCTTTGGGACGATGACAGTCAAGTTATTCTAAAGTTATTCCATTTTAGTTTAATCGCCTTCTTTATATATTGATCACACGTATGGCCCAATTATCTTTATATTAAAACATATTTTATTTCTATGGAATAATATATAATAATAATAATAATAATAATAATAATATTTCAATTACAATACATTTTCTGTTAAAACCAGAGTATTTCCTATAGGGAATTATAGACTTTAATTTAGATAGAAATAAGGATATAATATTTAATTACATGGGTATCAGCCAGCACGTCAACGACTTAAATCTAGAAATGGTTTTCTAAGATCTACAGAGAAACTCGCTCTGTAGAACACCTCAGCAAGTGAGAGTCCAAAAGTGGCAGCTATGATAAGAGGATCAAAGTTGCCCTACTATTGTGTATAGAATCATAGAATCAAAGAGTTGGAAGAGACCTCCTGGGCCATCCAGTCCAACCCCATTCTGCCAAGAAGCAGGAATGTTGCATTCAAATCACACCTGACAGATGGCCATCCAGCCTCTGTTTCAAAGCTTCCAAAGAGCCTCCACCACACTCCGGGGCAGAGAGTTCCACTGCTGAACGGCTCTCAGAATCAGGAAGTTCTTCCTCATGTTCAGATGGAATCTCCTCTCTTGTAGTTTGAAGCCATTGTTCCATTGTAATTTCAATTACAATACATTTTCAGTTAAAACCAGAGTATTTCCTATAGAGAATTATAGACTTTAATTTAGATAGAAATAAGGATATAATATTTAATTACATGGGTATCAGCCAGCACGTCAACAGGGTGTCTGCGCCCCACACCACTGGAGAAATTACACTGCTTAGCCGGTATTGCACCACCTGACATCTGCCGGGAAGTGGCAGCCAATAGTGAAAGGACCAAGGCAGAGACATCTCCAGCTCATCCCCTGTTTGGGTATCAGCCAGCACGTCAACGACTTAAATCTAGAAACAGTTTTCTAAGATCTACAGAGACACTCGCTGGAACACCTCAGCAAGCGAGAGTCCAAAAGTGGCAGGCTCAAACCCAGAAACTCAACCAATGGCTGATACCAAATGAGAGACTCCCCCCTGGGCACACAGAAGACTGGGCGACTTGGAAGGCGCTGAACAGACTGCGCTCTGGCACCACGAGATGCAGAGCCAACCTTCAGAAATGGGGCTAAAAAGTGGAATCCATGACATGCGAGTGTGGAGAAGAGCAAACCACTGACCACCTGCTGCAATGCAACCTGAGCCCTGCCACATGCACAATGGAGGACCTTCTTGCAGCAACACCAGAGCACTCTAAGTAGCCAGATACTGGTCAAAGGACATTTAATCAACTACCAAACTCACAAATTTTGTATTTTGTCTGTTTGTTTGCTTTGTCTGTTAGAAATGTAATATATTTGACTGGTTGTCCTGACATGACAAATAAATAAAAATAAATAAATAGAATTTAATTACATAATAACCACGGCTAGAATAGTGCACGCCCGATATTGGAGGGGGAAAGAAACCCCGAATCTAAAAGAATGGTTAATAAAGATGCTGGAAGTCAGAAGTATGGGTAGCCTAACACAACAACTTAGATATTTAACAACAGATTGGAATTTATTAAGTTTATGGAACAAGAGAAAATGGAAATGTCATCGAGGGCAGCGGAGGCCCTCGCCTTTAAGTTGGTCTGACCCACAGTGGAGAGTTCCGCAGTTCCTGGAAGTCACAATTGGGACAAACTGATGAAATGTGCCCCACCAGACAGCTCAAACAGGGACTGCACAAAGCCTCTATGCCTTTCTCTCACTTTCCCCCAAGCCCTAACTTTGTACCTATTCCCTTAATAAAGGAACTTGAAAATTGTAACTTTTTAACTTTCTAGCCTGAAACTTTATGGAGCGAGAGTTGCCAGATGTTCAAGCTGGGTTTAGAAAAGGCAGAGGAACGAGAGACCAGACTGCCAATATCCGCTGGATAATGGAGAAAGGCAGGGAGTTTCAGAAAAACATCTACTTCTGCTTCATTGACTATTCTAAAGCCTTTGACTGTGTGGATCATCATAAATTGTGGCAAGTCCTTGGTGGGATGGGCATCCCAAGCCCCCTTCCCTCTCTCCTGAGGAATCTGTACAAGGACCAAGGAGCAACAGTCAGAACTGACCACGGAACAACAGACTGGTTCAAGATTGGGAAAGGCGTACGGCAAGGCTGCATACTCTCACCCAACCTTTTTAACTTGTATGCAGAACACATCATGCGAGGATGTGCGGGGCTGGATGAATGCAAAGCTGGGGTGAAAATTGCTGGAAGAAACATTAACAACCTCAGATACGCAGATGACACCACTCTGATGGCCGAAAGCGAGGAGGAGCTGAGGAGCCTTCTAATCAAGGTGAAAGAAGAAAGCGCAAAAGCCGGGTTGCAGCTAAACGTCAAAAAAACCAAGATTATGGCAACAAGAATGATTGACAACTGGAAAATAGAGGGAGAAATGTGGAGGCCGTGACAGACTTTGTATTTCTAGCGCAAAGATTACTGCAGATGCAGACTGTGGCCAGGAAATCAGAAGACGCTTACTTCTTGGGAGGAGAGCAATGTCCAGTCTCGATAAAATAGTAAAGAGTAGAGACATCAGACTGGCAACAAAGATCCATTGCCTAGTCAAAGCCATGGTATTCCCTGTAGTCACCTACGGATGTGAGAGCTGGACCTTAGGGAAGGCTGAGCGAAGAAAGAGAGATGCTTTTGAGCTGTGGTGTTGGAGGAAAGTTCTGAGAGTGCCTTGGACTGCGAGAAGATCCAACCAGTCCATCCTCCAGGAAATAAAGCCCGACTGCTCATTGGAGGGAAGGAGACTAGAGACAAAGTGGAAGTCCTTTGGCCACATCATGAGGAGACAGCAAAGCCTAGAGAAGACAATGATGCTGGGGAAAGTGGAAGGAAAAGGAAGAGGGGCCGACCAAGGGCAAGATGGATGGATGGCATCCTTGAAGTGACTGGACTGACCTTGAAGGAGCTGGGGGTGGTGACGGCCGACAGGGAGCTCTGGCGTGGACTGGTCCATGAGGTCACGAAGAGTCGGAGACGACTGAACAAATGAACAACAACAAACTTTATGTCATTTCTTGCCTGAACTAACTAAATGTATGAATTCAACCTTTTCCAGGCCGCGGAAGACTGCGAGCCTGCCCGGAATGCCTCCTTGGCGTTCCGGGGATGCCGGATCCACACCGCTTGAAACCGCAGATACGGAGTTTTTCCTTTCAGATCTCCATATCCACAAAATGGCTCCATTTTAATGTCTTATTTTTCTGTACTAAATTCTAACCCTATCTGCCATCTTGCTTTTCTTATTTTGGACCCCTATGCTCGGGAAATGACCTCTCAAGTTTTGATAATATATTTTATTAGAAACAGCTGATTGTCAAATATGCCGGTTCCATTGCTACTGCTTCATTGCTCCTTGCTGCCTCTCGCCTCTGCCAAGCTCTTGACCCGGGGACTTCATGCGGTCCCCCCATGGGACTTCGGGAAGAGCCTGGTCAAGGGGCCCCAGACCTTGGAAGGAGATTCTAGTTTCCCAAGGACTGAAGATTGAATCGGTAGCAGCACTGCCGGGGTTCCATCTGCCAGCCTTTACAAAGATCAAGGACTTTCTGTTGCCTGTTTTGGACTTCAGAAAACACCATTTCCCCATGAACTTTCTCCAAAGACTCTGGACTCAACAGTTTCCTCATGAAATCAATTTTTATTATTAAATATTCTGTAGGGATGGGGCTTATTGCTATGTAATGCTTATGAATTGTATGAATGTATATCTTTCTATGAATTATCCTTTGCCCCTTTGCTTTGCCCAATTCTTGGCCCCTTGCCCAACCTTAGAGTGGCAACCAGGAAGCTACCAGCTGCCCGAAGGGGGCCATTTGCCCTCACAAAGACAAACATTACACCAGCTCCTGCAAAGGAATTTCCTATTTATTTTTAGAGTTAGGCTGATAGATAGGAATCTCCTCTGGTCAGTTTTGATTGATGAAAACAATAAGGGCAAGACTGCCCACTGGGGGGTCTTCTGCCCAGCTCCGTTTTGCCTCACCCGACACATCACATCTTGTCAGATCAGGGACAGGAAAACTCTTCTTAAATCAATCTTCTCATTATCAACGCAGGGACACATAGGTTTCAGGAATGTCATAATCCTATCATCCCCCATTGTCCCTGATCGTCCCGCCTCCTCTTCCCTGATTCGTCAATTCCCCGAAGCGGGGAAAGCGCTCTGATAGGCTCCCCTGAAGCGGGGAAGCCTCGTGATTGGCCCAGGCTGGGGGCGGGCCGCCAAGCCTCCTCCCAGCTGTTCGGCCACCAGCCAATCACCGTCAGGCCGGGCAGGGAAGGGAGGGCGGGAATTTTGAAATCTCTGTACATGTTTTTGCTATAAAAATGCTTCCAAACTTTGTAATGGCATGCTTGTATGTGAGCTATCACTACAATTGCATCCGCTTCAGTTGAATCGCTCCAATAAAAGCCTCGGTCGCCGCTTCTTCCGCTTTGGTGAGATAATAATTATTTTTATTATTTTAATATTGCTGGAATTTGTCTTCTCTGTCCTTGCCAAAGTTGCGGACCCTCTTTGGTGCGGTCCTGGAAGTCTCTCTTACTGGATCTTACTGGATCTCTCTTACAGTGATCGCTGGATGTAGGTGAACTACAACTCCAAAACCAAAGGACACTGCCCACCAAACCCTTACAGTATTTTCTGTTGGTCATGGGAGAACTGTGCCAAGTTTGGTTCAATTCCATCGTTGGTGGGGTTCAGAATGCTCTTTGATTGTAGGTGAACTATAAATCCCAGCAACAACTCCCAAATGACAAAATCAATTTTTTTAGTGAAGGACATACATTGGGTTGTTAGGTGTCTCGTGTCCAAATTTGGTGTCAATTCGTCCAGTGGTTTTTGAGTTCTGTTAATCCCACAAACGAAATTACATTTAGATAGATAGATAGATAGATAGATAGAATAGATAGGGCTGGTCCATGTCTGTATTTTATTAAATAGATAGATAGATAGATAGATAGATAGATAGATAGATAGATAGATAGATAGGGCTGGTCCATGTCTGTATTTTATTAAGATAGATAGATAGATAGATAGATAGATAGATAGATAGATAGGGCTGGTCCATGTCTGTATTTTATTAAGATAGATAGATAGATAGATAGATAGATAGATAGATAGATAGGGCTGGTCCATGTCTGTATTTTATTAAGATAGATAGATAGATAGATAGATAGATAGATAGATAGGGCTGGTCCATAGATAGATAGATAGATAGATAGATAGATAGGAAGATAGATAGATAGATAGATAGATAGGAAGATATAGATAAAAAGATAGATAGATAGATAGATAGATAGATAGATAGATAGATAGATATATTAAGATAGATAGATAGATAGATAGATAGATAGATAGATAGATAGGGCTGGTCCATGTCTGTATTTTATTAAGAGATAGATAGATAGATAGATAGATAGATAGATAGATAGGGCTGGTCCATGTCTGTATTTTATTAAGATAGATAGATAGATAGATAGATAGATAGAATAGATAGGGCTGGTCCATGTCTGTATTTTATTAATATAGATAGATAGATAGATAGATAGATAGATAGATAGATAGATAGATAGATAGATAGATAGATAGATAGATAGGGCTGGTCCATGTCTGTATTTTATTAAGATAGATAGATAGATAGATAGATAGATAGATAGATAGATAGATAGATAGGGCTGGTCCATGTCTGTATTTTATTAAGATAGATAGATAGATAGATAGATAGATAGATAGATAGATAGATAGATAGGGCTGGTCCATGTCTGTATTTTATTAAGATAGATAGATAGATAGATAGATAGATAGATAGGGCTGGTCCATGTCTGTATTTTATTAATATAGATAGATAGATAGATAGATAGATAGATAGATAGATAGGGCTGGTCCATCTGTATTTTATTAAGATAGATAGATAGATAGATAGATAGATAGATAGATAGATAGATAGGGCTGGTCCATGTCTGTATTTTATTAAGATAGATAGATAGATAGATAGATAGATAGATAGATAGATAGATAAATAGGGCTGGTCCATGTCTGTATTTTATTAAGATAGATAGATAGATAGATAGATAGATAGATAGATAGATAGATAGCGCTGGTCCATATCTGTATTTTATTAAGATAGATAGATAGATAGATAGATAGATAGATAGATAGGGCTGGTCCATGTCTGTATTTTATTAAGATAGATAGATAGATAGATAGATAGATAGATAGATAGATAGATAGATAGGGCTGGTCCATGTCTGTATTTTATTAAGATAGATAGATAGATAGATAGATAGATAGATAGATAGGGCTGGTCCATGTCTGTATTTTATTAATAGATAGATAGATAGATAGATAGATAGATAGCGCTGGTCCATATCTGTATTTTATTAAGATAGATAGATAGATAGATAGATAGATAGATAGATAGATAGATAGAATAGATAGGGCTGGTCCATATCTGTATTTTATTAAGATAGATAGATAGATAGATAGATAGATAGATAGGGCTGGTCCATAACCAGTCCATCCTCCAGGAAATAAAGCCCGACTGCTCACTGGAGGGAAGAACAGTAGAGGCCAAGATGAAGTCCTTTGGCCACATCATGAGGAGACAGCAAAGCCTAGAGAAGACAATGATGCTGGGGAAAGTGGAAGGCAAAAGGAAGAGGGGCCGACCAAGGGCAAGATGGATGGATGGCATCCTTGAAGTGACTGGACTGACCTTGAAGGAGCTGGGGGTGGTGACGGCCAACAGGGAGCTCTGGCGTGGGCTGGTCCATGAGGTCACGAAGAGTCGGAGACGACTGAACGAATGAACAACAACAGATGGATAGAGAGATAAATAGATAAATAGATAGATAGATAGATAGATAGGGATGGATGATGGATAGATAGTCAGAATGAACAACGAAGATAGATAGATAGATAGATAGATAGATAGATATAGAGATAGATAGAGAGAGAGAGATAGCTAGATAGATAGGTAGGTAGATAGTTAGAGAGATAAGTAGATAGGTAGAGAGATAGGTAGATAGGTAGAGAGATAGGTAGATAGGTACCTATCTACATGGGGTTGCCTTTGAAGACGGCCCGGAAGCTCCAATTAGTCCAACGCTCGGCAGCCATGATACTAACAGGAGCGGAGCGCAGGGAGCATACAACTCCTCTGCTGCACCAGCTCCACTGGCTGCCGATTTGCTACCGGGCTCAATTCAAAGTGCTGGCGTTGGCCTTTAAAGCCCTAAACGGTTCTGGCCCAACCTACCTATCCGAACGTATCTCGGCCTATCAGCCCACCAGGACCCTAAGATCTCCTGGGGAGGCCTTGCTCTCTATCCCGCCTGCTTCACAGGTGCGGCTGGCGGGGACGAGAGACAGGGCCTTTTCTGTGGTGGCCCCGCGGCTATGGAACGCCCTTCCCATGGAGGTAAGATCAGCCCCCTCATTGATGGTATTCCGAAGAAGACTAAAAACCTGGATGTTCGAGCAGGCATTCGGTTAACTCAGTGCAAGGAATGTAATGATTAAAGGACTGGCAATATGGACGACGAAACTGGATCACGATTTTAGTCAGGAGTTGAATTGGATTGTTGTTGATATATGTATTGTGTATTATGTTTTTTATGCTTTTAAACTGTATATTGCCGATTGTTATATTTTGTTGTAAACCGCGCTGAGTCGCCGGCTAGGCTGAGAAGCAGCGGTATACAAGTATAGCAAATAAATAAATAAATAAATAAATAAATAAATAAATAATAGAATACAAATATAATAATAATAATAATAATAATAATAATAATAATAATAAGCAGATCTAAAATAAGAGTCTATGATATTTTTATAGGTATTTAGATAGTAGACTGTCACCCCTTAAAGCAGTGTTTCTCAACCTGGGGGTCGGGACCCCTGGGGGGGTCATGAGGGGGTGTCAGAGGGGTCGCCAAAGACCATCAGAAAACACAGTATTTTCTGTTGGTCATGGGGGTTCTGTGGGAAGTTTGGCCCAATTCTATCATTGGTGGGGTTCAGAATGCTCTTTGATTGTAGGTGAACTATAAATCCCAAGCAACTACAACTCCCAATGTTAAGGTCTATTTTCCCCAACTCCACCAGTGTTCACAATTGGGCATATTGAGTATTTGTGCCAAGTTTGGTCCAGATCCATCATTGTTTGAGTCCACAATACTCTCTGATTGTAGGTGAACTACAACTCCAAAACTCAAGGTCAATGCCCACCAAACCCTTCCAGTATTTTCTGTTGGTCATGGGAGTTCTAGATGCCAAGATTGGTCCAATTCCATCGTTAGTGGAGTTCGGAATGCTCTTTCATTTTAGGTGAACTATAAATCCCTGCAAGTACAACTTCCAAATGACAAAATCAATCCCCCCAACCCCACCAGTATTCAAATTTGGGTGTTTTGGGTATTTGTGCCAAATTTGGTCCAGTGAATGAAAATGCATCCTGCATATCAGATATTTACATTATGATTCATAACAGTAGCAAAATTACAATTATGAAGTAGCAACAAAAATAATGTTATGGTTGGGGGTCACCACAACATGAGGATCTGTATTAAGGGGTCACGGCATTAGGAAGGTTGAGAATCACTGCTTTAAGTGATTTGCAGGACGCTGCAATACTCCTCCCGGCCAGTAGGGAGAGCTGAGCTCCTTTGAAGGCCAAGGAGGCCGGTGTAAGACGCGCACGCGCAGTAGCCCTAAGCAACAAGCTCCTCGCCCGTCCCCTCTTCGCGGGGCCGGCGCACGCGCAGGAAGCGTTGCCTCCCCTGCCGGCTCGAGGCCACAACCGGCGCGCGTGCGCATTGCGGCGCCCGCGCATGCGCAGGAGAAGGCGAGCACCATCGCCTCACGGTTATCCCTCTCTCTCTCTCTCTGTGTGAAGCGCTTGGCGAGAGGCCTTTCCAGCGGCCATGAACGGCTTCGGCGGCGGCGGGGGCAGCGCTGGCCTCGGCCCGCTCCGGAGCAGCGGCGGAGAAACAGTTGAAAAAATCGACATGTCGCTGGGTGAGGAGAATTTAAAAGCTTGGGGCCATCCATTTGTATCAGAAGGGGGGGGGGAGAATTGGGCCTGTGGGATGTACCGTTGGAAGCAGAGCGGAGGGGAGGGCTGCTTTGGAGGATTCCATCCCGAGGAAGGAGCGAGATGGAACGTTGGCGCCGCCCCCAAGTGGGCGGGACCGAGATTGATTGGCAGCTCCTGCGGGGAGGGGGCGTGGCTCTAGCTTAGATACAGGTTCTCATCTTT